ACCTGTTTTGAAGACAGGACTTACTATGGCGTTCTTCCAGTCTTTTGGTAAACGACCCTGCGTTACGGATAGATTAAAGTATATATTCAAAGTGTTCGCAGCAAAGTTAGATAATTCCTTCAGTAGCCTAGGATGCAATTCATCGGGCCCCGTGGATTTACCTATGTCAAGCTTATTCATCAGACCAAAGACATCAAGTTACTTAATGGTCACGCTATCCAGTGTATGTGTGGGGGGATTTGTGTGCGCTGACGAAAAGTGTGCTTCCATGATATATACACTGCTAAAGTAGTTTGAGAACATTTGAGCCTTACCAAAGTCGCTTACACCAATGATGCGGCAGAACTGTCTCCTCATAGTGCAGGAATATTTCCTCTTCATTTTGTCCTTTGGTTTATATAGGAATACAAGGGTTTAAGACATTCTATGGATTCCTTATCAACTGTTTCTTCGCACGACGTTCTAGACTTACGGAGGGTAGAGGCACAGGTATTCCAAGCTTTTCGATACTGAGATTTTGTCTCATCAGTCTTCAGTAACCTAAATCTATCCAACATTTTTGTTCTCTTACGGAGAAGGATGTGAGCCTCCCTACCGAACCATGGTGGGGAGTTTCTCGGCCCCCTTGATATAATCCAATGGATTTGGGGTGCGGTAACTTTTAAGTATATATTTCGAAATGCGTCCCAAGCTGATTCGATTGAGGACTTTGGGTCTATTTGCCAATCTACTAACGACGCTGAGTGCATGATATCTGGTATGTTTGCTTTCCAGACGTTAAGTCTGGATTAACCTGATGGATCCTCATTTTTTACAGATGTGTGGAAGTCGAAGGTTAGGACTGCATGACTGTTTTTAATTAGGGGTGGCATGTAATAGGGGTTCGTGACGTCATCCTTATAATCGGTCATTATAAGATCTAGTAAGGGTGAGTCCGAGTCGTACTTAGTCGCTTTTTTCACATGTTGTATTAGGGCACATGTGACAACCACACCAAATAGTTCTTGCTTGAAGGAATTTTCTGAAAATTCAATTATCAGATTTGTCCAGTCTACCGTGGGTGCATTAAATTCTCCTAGGATTAGACATCGACCACTTTGTGACCAAGTACTGAGACTGGTTAGCAAGACCTCATTTGCTTGGACTGCGGTAAAGCAAACCGATCGATAGCTCTTGTCCCTTGTAATGCAAGGGCTAAGAGTACTAATTCACAGGTCCCACTCTCATGGGATACACTGTAGATAATAATAAATGAGATAGTATTCCTAATGAATAGAGCTACCCCCCTTCCTTTACGCTTCTAGAATCTGTCGGCTCTTACTAACTTGAACCCCTCAAAATCAAATTCCTTACCCTCTGTCGGCCGCATCAGCGAATTTTCCGTGACTGCGATTGAAACTGTAAGTGCGCAGTAATCCGTTTTTGACCTTGAAATATCATTTGTAACGTCCCTTGCAACTAATTTGAATGAGTTTCTACGTAACGTTTCGACATATCTCTGTCGTTGTCGCATTGCTTCCAGTAATTTCACTGATAATATGTGTTCTTAGGTGTATGACTACGAATCCATGTAGCTGGCTTGATTGCACAGTAAATTGATTTATCACAACGGGAACTTAGGCTTTGTAGGATACCAATTACTTACCGTCTCTAAGTGCTGCTACAGCTGGTAATGGACCTCACAGAGTAATATGGATACTATCAATTCTAATTACTTCGATTGGGCGGCTGATACTTCTATCAAACAGTTACATAAATTCCCGTAAACTCTCCGATCCATTCTCAGGCGGAGACCATATGTGCATTTCCAACTTGCTATATCTTTCAAGTTTTATTGAAATATTTTCGCTCAATATGCTTAGCATTGTTTCTTCATCTGTTAACTACAGTGAGCGTCAACTTTACAATAATTCCTTTCAGTTCAGCATCGCAATTACTTCTGTGCCTTTGCTTTGTTCTCGGTGGTCTACATGATAACAGATGTTTACGTATTACAACTTAGGCTTAAAACAACTGAAAATGCTTTTCTGGTAAGAATAATTTAACCCAATTTCTAAAAACAACTTAACTTGATTGCCAATAATGAAATATGTATCATGTTTTTCTATCCGGTCTTGCCAGTGATTTAACTTTGAGAATTTCATCCGACGGTGTTGTCATTTAGTTGAGTGGTTTGCTCACGTAGTTAAGCTATTCATTTAGCGAATATATTGTTTGGAAGTTTATTGAGCGTAATTAAAACCACGAGTCTGGTATTATGGGTGGTGTCCATAGAGATGTCCCATATTTCCTACTGATTGACTTCCAGGCTACAGTGATGATAATAAAATGCTAGGTAACATTAATTTAATATTTCTCGAATAACCGGGTAGTGAAAAAGGTCTCGAAATACCAGGGTGTGAATATTTCTGTCGTGATTTTCGAGTTTCTATGAGTAGCTAGCTATATATGAATGAAATCATCTAGTGTACGAGACCTCGATATAACTTCCCAACATACTGTTAGACAGTTAGCACAAGAAGGAGAACACCAAATTCATAGAAGCAGTTACTTCAGTGGTAGTAATATACAGAAGGCGACTGCATATAAGAGTATGATACGGGAGGAAAGAATTAGTTTGTGGAAAGAAAGGTATAAATTAATTTTAATCTTACGGTTCGCTCGCAACTGATATTTCCCATTTTGCTGAGGCGTGGTTGCTTGGGCAGGTATACACTCCCACCAACACCTACGTTTTAGACGGTCGATTATCCAGGACATATTTATGAAGTATAATTTACCTCGGCAATTACCTTCTTTGTACAAATGTGTACTAAGCCGCTTTCAACGTCACTCTATGGATGTAACGAGTTTCTGATGTAAGTTTAACTAACACCCAGGTAAGGTTTAAAAACATCGAGAAGATAATTTTAGACTTAACGTTCAAGTTTTGCTTTCACAAATTAAAGTAACATCTATAGCTTTCAGTAAACTCTGAACACACATCAACTTGGTCTAAAGTATTTTCGTGATTAAAACTGAAATGCTGCCAATAATGCGTTTTTATAAACACGTTTTTCATGTGGTTGGATTACATTGTATACGTGTGAACAAAATACGTTGAAGGTGAGGCACAACGAAGTCGAAAGCGCTTGTAGGAGGTAATATACCTGAACTTTTAGTTATGAAGAAGTGTATGTTATGGCTAAGTTTTTGGCTTCTTAGCTTCCAACCGTGTATACACATGTCTTCTTGAATCATTTGCTTTACATAAATGTTTCATGCACCTATATTTTACTATCTAAATATACCGATGATTTCATCGTTTTCCAGAGTAACATATTACGAAAGAAGATATATCTTATGGCGTTCTACTTAATTTGTTTGTTGATTGATGGACTGTGTTATTGGATTCACATGACATTTTGTCCTCCATATGGTACGTTTAATAAACTACAGTACCTATCTAATATTTTAGTTATTTTATTCATCGTAGGGAAAATTCTCAATAGTTTTCTCTGTGTAGTGTGAATGTAGATTTCTTATTTAGGAGCTCAGTGATACCAAGCGCTTTTAAATGAGCATAATTTCCATTTCATCCGGTTAGTTGCTCAACCTAACTGGTGTTACCAATTTTTGACTACCAGTTGATAAGAAGCAACGCGGCGAACAGATTTTCAATCTGAATGTGAGAAAATGGTTCTCTTAATACTAATATGATGTTTAGTAAGGACCGTAAAACAATCCAGAACTGTGTAGTAATCTTGAATTTTTTTACGAAGTTAATTCACTGGCTAACAAATTTACTGTGAACCTTGAAACTACGTAGTTTACTCTGTCCATTTGAATTTATATCCATGGATATTCATGATATGAGTAATCACTTCTAAGAGAGGAAAGAAGCTCCAGGAGTTGATAGGTTCTCCCAAATGGCGTAGTTGAGTGGTATCCGTGAAAGTACAATCATATTTATAGTGGATATACTTTAAAATCAAGTTATTAAACACAAACGTTTGTGGAACAGCCTATACCTAAAAATAAACTACCTTTGTTGAGTTTATTAAAAGCCAAATACAAACCGGTATTTGCCGGATGTGTTATGTGCTCCCTGGATAAAACTTATACAATCTGAAGAATACCAAACTGCCTCGCAGTCTCGAATGCTACACTATATTTACAGAGGCGTGTGCTACTTGTCTACTCGCTTTATCGTACGAATAGCTTTAATATTTTCATTCAAAATTCACAAGTAAATTCTGATCCGTTATTTTAGTAACAACCCATCCATCTTTGATGTTTCTATTCTAGTTTATACTATATTTTCTGCACTTGAATATGCTGCAATATTTGCAAACATTTTTTATCACTATACAACCTCCAGTACATTTGAAGATATATCAGTGAGGAAAATGATCATTTACTTTTCCACCGGTCGAACTATTCCATTCGTAAATATGAAGTCAGAACTACCATTGTTGGAAGTAAAATGAATAATTGTTTTTCAAATAGAATTTTATTTAATTCGCTATCATTCTTATGTACGTGAGGTTATACAACCCATTAAATTACATAAAGCATATTTTGTTAACTGTATAGTAACGTCGATGAAATACAAAATTTCATACAATCTAAGTGTGTATGTGTTACGTCATTGATCCGTTTGCCCACTAATGTACAGGAGAGAATTGTCTCAACCTAGTTTAAAGTCTTGAGGCTGGAGAATGCGTGAGTTCAATTGTGGCTGGAGGGTGTTAAGAACAGAGAAAAGAAAACTTGTATAACTGACCTATTACCTGATTATTAGGTTAACAAGACAGGAAAGAGAAGAATTGGACGGAAAATCACTCGATTTACTCTTGATCTAGTTAGATGTATGACTAGAAAGACTACAACTCTGTTAGGTTTGAAGCTTCACGAGTTCACTTAATCTGCGAACGAGAACAAGACTCAGTGACCAAAGACCAGTAATCTAGCTATTGATGCGTTCCAGCCCCGTTATCTAGAAGGAGAAGTCCAAGCTTGGTATGGAAAATATATTCTGCAAAACAGCCAGAAAACGAGCGAGCCCACAAACACAATTTAAAACGTATATATACAAATATATATAATCGATATTGTCATGGGAAATTTTTAAACATTATTCAATGAGTTCGTCAGTTGACTGCTATTTAATCATTTAATCGATATGATAAAATTACAAATATAAGTTTTGGAGATAATATCTTCCCCAACAAACTCATAAAAAATAAGAAAAACAGTTTCGTCCAATCTAGGGCATTAGAGTAGAAAAATGGAGTGCAAACGTTACGTCAGAATTCCAGTAATTTTGGAGTAGAAAAGATTACAGTGACATATACGTTACACGAAAGCTTCCAACATAAAATAAAACAGGGACAAATGTTAGTACTTTAGAGACTTTGAAGTAAGTGAAGCGATGTCCTAGGAAATGGCTTCCGTTGTTCAATATCGCTTTTCTATTTCTCTTCACATTAATAAGTTAACACTTAACAATAACGCAATAGGAACATTAACTACTAAGTATCAGTAATGATCTAAAGTATGATAATAAACTGAGACGTGTAAACAAAAACAAGTTGAAAGATAAGTTTAGGGAATTCATTATTTGTAACAGCATAAAGAGTAAAGATATCTCTACCTTCAGCCATTATATGACGCCTACAATCGCTGTATTTTTGTGTCCATTTGAATTAGCAGTAGGTGACGCCTGGGCGAACTAACACTAATAAAACCTCGTCTTTTCGTCATTTCCAACTACTCCTCAACATTTCGCGTTGCGCATGACGACGGTTTTCTTCGATATATACCCTGATAGTACCACTACTATCTCTTTTAAAATTAAGAAGAATTATCATTCCATTATGCTTTTATTGGGAAATCCTCACAGATCATAACCTATGACACACGTATATTAAAAGATGAGTTCAATGACAGTACAGGAATGACTCGTTGTGTTTCTGTCTGAATATATATTTGTAAAGAGCATCTGACGAAACATCGTTACTGTTACAAGTGTATTCCAATAAAAAATCATAAGTGGGAGGTCTTATTTGCTTTACCCAAGCTGGAATCTGCAGATTGTGACAGCTGATGTAAGCTCTGAAACAATTCACCCAAGTTATATGAAAATAAATGTTCTAGATATTTTAACAAGACTTTATTAATTAGAGGTTATCAATAAAGGTTCATGGAAAAATGTGGTACACTACACATATTATTCAGAAGCTTATTCAAAATCACTTCCATACATCGGTACGATATCGTCCTTGCTTTCGTAGGTTTAGTATATAGCTGGTTGCAGCTTCTCTTGTTAATTTGGAATGTTGTACTACTAATTCGATTAAACACAATTGCATGTCACGCACCATACCAGCGGCATCCCTAGGAAACATGTCGAAAAGCATATTTAGTTCAGACTAATGATTAAGATAAGCAGTTGCACAAGTGATCCCTATTATAAACCACCTAAAGTTATCTAAGGACCATTGGTTAATCTCGCTTAATGGACATAATTTGAATGACACTGATCAGTGAGCTATGAATAGAATTCCGATAACATAGATAAACTATATCTTTCAAAAGGCTTCCGAATATAAATAGGACACATTCGAAAACTTGGTTAGTTAGACGTAATTTGGGGGATTTAAAACTGGTAACTCAAAACAATTATATTAGTAAAGCTCCTCCAGCGTGAAAGAATTAAAAACTGAATAAAGCTACGGTTGATAGGAAAATGTTGGACTATGTGAAAAGGATAACCAATTTAAGTGACCTACAAAAATCTAAATATTATCAAGAAAAAAGACTCATTACCAAATTACAAAGGACTTGACGTTTATCATCTTGGGGCGCTTTATGAATGTGGCATATGCAAATAGCGTTTATAAACTTGAGATTCAAGTAGTGCGAATGATGCAATTTTGGTGAAAGTAAATACATGGTTAATCTTAAAAGGTTAAGAAAAGCTTATAGCCTTATGAGCTTTATAAAGTTTCAACGGACTGTGTTTAATATTTATATGACATTGAAGTGGAATTTTCAAAAAATCTGGTGTAAATAATACTTTGCCGACCAATGTACATACTTTTTTCCGTAATCAAATACATTATACAGATACCTCACAACACCTGCCGCGAAATGACAACAAATATCAGAATTTCTTCACAACAAACTTCAAATGTTGTTGAGCAAAGTTCAAAATTACTTACCCACATACATAAATATACGCATAACATTCATCCAAAAGTTTCCACACCATGTTACCCATCTCAAGCATCTTATGCTGAACATAAACTTTATTACCATCGGGAGAGTCACGTGAGAAAGCAGTAAACATTTCAAGTAGGCCAGTAGAACAGGCTTGTTTTAATTCGTCTGAATAAATAAAATCTTCATTTTCATGCCGGCAACCGAAAAATAATACCATCTGTCCATTCTTGCCAACTAAAAAATAGACATGCATGGTATATCGTAAAGAATAGTGAACAAACTGATAAAATACGACTAGCTGCAAACGTAGACAAATGTGTCAGATTTGTGGTATGCAATTACACTAGGCTGGATTTCACTATTTCCGATCGTCATAATAAATTCAAGAAAAGGTTATTCAGTACGTAATAATATGTTTCTCTGGTTAGTTTTTTTTAAAATAGAACTATGATAAATTCAGTCACTAAAACTACAAATAAAACAGCATTAAACGTTTATAGCTTAACATTGATTTATATTAACTATAGATTTTCGAATTCGAAGTCTGTATTTTATGAGCTACATAATATAATCACATAAGAATATCATTTTCAGTATTTGATGGCGACTATCTGTTATATCCGAGCGAAGATTAAATCACGAGTAACTTCTGAGACATTAATTGACTAATATTATCTATATATTCTTATGGTATAACTATTCAAAAATTAGACTATGTATATTTATATTCCTCTTATTATAAGCTTTATTTTGACCTAGAATTTATTATTGTACGATTTATGGTTCTTAAGCTATGTTCAGTTTATTGACTACTGCTTCCCAAGTTCACAGCCACATTTGGCCAAATATTGTACAAATGTTATTTTCTATTTTATAGTACGTTGTGGTCTGTCTGGTTGATACATAAACCGAGTATATCTGAAATAAACGATTCGATTCATATTGCAGAAGCTGGTATTGTGTTCTGGACTCAAGTGGAAGGGCTATTCGGACATAGGACCAACAAGGACGCTAGACTGCTCATACCGTCGAAGGTTATTGGTTTGACACAGTGCTAAGATTGTATAAATCGTATTTTGATTGGCGGATAAATCACGTGATAAAAAGCCGAACATAAAATCATAACACGATCAATTAACTGAAAAGTAACCAACTTCTCTGTAGCTAGTGACATTTAAATAATCATTACAAAACAATCCCAATTTTAAGTAAGCAAGTTACAAAGTCAATCCAATTTTGATAGGCTATTGTTATTATCATCATTTAGACTATGAAGTGAGACAATTAAATCAAGACATTCCCATTTTATAACATCTAAACTCAAAGAATTGGTTTGAATAAAATTCACACCCTAATGCAGTTAAATTGAACACTTGACTTCGTGTAACTTATCACGCGCGTTTCTATCAGGAAAATGTTGACAAAGATGTGGGCACTCCTGATGGATTCCTTACTTCTATCGATAATTAACACCAGATACAGCATAAATACTATTTTAAACAATATCAAGACACATGTACAATAATCCCGTATGGTAAAATAGAATTGTCAAACTGGTCCCAAAAGTGTAAGAAACGGAAAATCACAAGCTTCAATGACAATAGTAGTGTCTCTTCTATAAAAATGCACCAATAATTTTAGATTTCATGACTAATTATCCATAAATCCTAGGAGTTTGAATCTAAACATTTAGTTGACCTAAGCTACAAATATAGAACTCATATATGTAGCAATGATTTTCTACGAAAAATTATAATAAATCGATGCATTTAGGGAACACCAATGAATTCAAACTGTGGATCACCTTTATCGTGAGCCATCTTTAAGCGCTCTTGTATAAATGCACGGAATGGAGCCAGTCCTGTCCCAGAAGCTATCATAATGACTGGGATTTTACGACTCCGCGGCAAGTTAAAATTACTGGTATGAATGGCGACAGGTATTTTCAAATGTCTCTGAGTGTCTGCTGTCTGCAAGGATTTCAACCAGTTAGTAGCTAGTCCTTTGAATATTCGTCCTGAATATACAAACAACAAAACAATGATACCAGAAATGATTATTTTGATACATCACGAAAAATTAGAAATATTTTTACTGTGCTATAATATACCCAACATTCGTAAAACAAATATTTGGATTAAATTTTGAAAAATAATTCACTTTACTTATCAGAAAGTTAATGGAAAGTAATTATTTTGGTAACTGACTGACAAATTATTTTGGTCACAACAGCGTGAAACTCTTCAACAATAGTGAAGAGTTGAGAATCCAACTAAATAATGATATAGGAATTTTAAATTGTTGAAACCAACTCTTTTCAGTGACTTACAAGGTTTATCATACCTACAAAAACTCCAATTATATTACAACTAATAGGTGCATTTTTGGTAAACGCCTTATTAAAACACTGAATACTTTAACTACTGAAATATCCAATCCACTTATTCTAAAACCGGGGCTGTTATAAAAGTTTTTCACTTTCAACGTTCGCGTCTACATGTAGATCTATCAATAAACCAGTCTTGTTATAGATCAAAACAAGCATGGCATTGATACGTGCTGTATCTCACGTTTAATAGACAAATAAACTAATATCAATGTGCGATTCAACTGTCATCTTAAAAGTACACTTTATTTACGCTCACCAGGGTCACGTACCATTGAAAATTTAAACAAGCTAGACCAAGCACCATCCCAGCCACTGGCAGCAAGAAGTCTGGTGTGAGCGAAACAATCTGCGAGGATGATGGGATCCCAATCACTAACACCCATTGACGTCTTGGACGATGGGCAGAATTCTTCGAAGGGCAGTTCAACTGGCCTGCTGCTCCGGCAACATCGGTCAGACTGTCCTGCCCTCCATGGCCGGTGACGACTGATCCACCGAACGACGAGGAAGTCCGCAAGGAACTCCAACTCTTGAAGCGCTACAAATCACCTGGCCCAGATGACGTACCTCCGGCTCTTTTTAAAGATGGTGGTGACTCTCTGACAAAGAAACTGACGACGTTGTTTACAAAGGTCTGGGAGCTAGAGAGTGTACCAACGTCATGGAATGAGTCGATAGTTGTCCCTATCTTTAAAAAGGGTTCATGTCGTTCCTGTAACAAATATCGGGGATAAGTCTACTTCCGATTGCGTCCAAACTATTGGCTTCCGTCATACTTCGTAGGTTGTTCAGAACCCGTGAAAGATTGACTCGCGAGGAGCAGGGTGGGTTTCGTTCTGGTTGAGGATGTATTGATCATATCTTCACCCTCCACCAAATGTTAGAACACTGTCATACTTTTCAAAGGCCAACAATCGTAATGTTTCTTGACATCAGGGCTGCCTTCGATTCGTTGGATAGGACTGTTCTCTGGGATTGTCTATTGAAGAAGGGTGTGTCTGAGAAGTTTATTAACATCCTAAAAGCCCTATATACAAACACCTCATGCAGAGTGAGGGCATACAAACACCTTTCTCCATTGTTCCATTCGAGCAGTGGGGTTAGGCAGGGTTGCCCAATCTCACCATTTCTCTTCAACTTTGCCATCGATGACATTCTGGAAACAGCTCTGATGGATTTAAGTAATGGTGGTGTGGATCTGTTGCCTGAAGAAAGACTTCTCGACCTTGAGTATGCGGATGATATTGTCCTACTGTGCGATAATGCCCAAGCCGTGCAATCCGCACTTAATCAGTTGGCAATCAGTGTCCGTAGGTATGGTATGTGCTTTGCACCTTCGAAATGCAAAGTACTTCTACAAGACTGGCAGGATTCTAATCCTGTACTCACTCGGGATGGTGAGCAGATAGAAGTAGTTGAGAAGTTCGTGTATCTGGGTAGCTGCATAAGTGCTGGTGGTGGCGTGAGTGATGAGACCAATGCACGTATAGTGAAAGCCAGAGCGGCTTATGCCAATCTGGGCCATCTTTGGCGCCTTTGTGATGTAAGTCTGGCTGTAAAAGGTCGGATCTACAACACGTCGGTGAGAGCAGTTTTCCTCTATCCTTGTGAAACCTGGCCTCCGAGTTGAGGACGTTAGACGATTCTCTGTGTTCGATCATCGCTGTCTCCGAAGGATTGCTGACACCCAGTGGCAAAATCATGTTAGTAATGCAGAGGTTCGGCATCGTGTGTTCGGGCACAGAGACGATAATGAAATCGGTTTCACCATCTTGAAACACCGAATTCAGTGGCTTGGACATGTTCTACGAATGTCATCCAAGAGAATTCCACTTCGTGCAGTATTTGCCGACGCTGGGACTGGTTGGGAAAAGCGGAGAGGTGGTCAGTGTATGTAATGGTGTCGTGGTATGAAAGAAATATATGTACGGCTGGTTTCTGTTGGTCCTTCATGACTCCCTGGCTGGGGTCCGAGAGATGGTACAACACAGTGGCTAGAGACGTTATCAGATATGGCTCAGAATAGAAGCCAGTGGCGATCATGCTGTAACCTTCTTTTACTTTCTTCATAAAACGTGGTTGTATCTTCCTTAACTGAAAGATTTCTTCTGATTGTACCCTTCTGTTCCCCTACTATTACTATTATTATTACACTAACTTACACCAATCTCTTCGTTATTGTTTTTTTTAGTATTTTTTCACGTTCCTCACTTTTTTCTTTTTCTTCTTAAATTCTCATTGTTTTGTGTGGCGCATATATATTTGGCGCAATCCTGTACCAATATATATGTGTTCAAATAAATAATAAATAAATAAATAAATAAGCACCGAAACCGAATGCATAAGAATCCACTAGAGCTAATATGAACACTGACTGATATGATGTTAAGGCAGAAGGTTAAATTAACAGGCAATACGAATGGTATGATAATAGTTGGTCTTCTTTGTGTACATCGTAAAGCATAGCAATCTGGATGCTATTATGTATGAATTCTACCACCGACTGGGTAATCACAAGTGTTTTCGACAAAAACCACAGTATTATCTGGAGACTTGGTCAGATAAATCCGATTTCTAGACATGAAATCATTATCATGAGCTTCACATGTGCAGAACGCATACCAAACACTAAATTTACGCCTTGTATTCTAAAGAACTATGTGTTTCATCAGTATCAATATCGTGTATACTCCAAGTTAAGCAAATCATTAATTAGTTTAATATGCAAAATAGATTAAATGTATTCTCCCCTTCAAAAATCCTTAAGAATTATGAATACAGACCTGAGTTTGTTTTGTAATTTAGTATAGCAGCAGTTATATGTATTCGATTTGTATGAACTAATGAAGATGATGATATACTATACAATCTTGGTTTCAGAGGGTTCAACAATTCCAACAAAAGATCAGCTGGTGGTCGAAATGATTTTAAGTCTTGTAACAAATCGACTAGTCCACGATGATCTTCTAAAATCCATTTTGAGTATAATTTCTTTAAAATTATTAGGAATTTGAAAAATAATGAAAAATAGCATATCTTAGGTAACTTATTAAAACTTTCTAATGCAAAAAAGACATTTACGGATATACATACACATATTTAGCAGCATAAAACTTTATAATTACGACCAAAAATCAAAATCCTGCAGACAGCTAACAATCAACTAGTCGATAAATCAGCGCTAGTTATTAGGTTGATTAGCATATCGTCACATCATCATGTCAAACAAAACAGTGAAAACTCCATACTGTTATTCTAAATGTTACCTTCAAAACCCTACTTGGTTAAAGATAAATAGTGACTCTATAATCTGCACATTACATTACAAACTATGAAACCATAGCTTTAGAGTTTACTTCACAAAGTAACATATATGACATAATATTCTGTTTGCTTTGCTCTCTGCCACTTATGGTATAATCGTGTCTAACGTAATTCGTGTTTGGAATGCTGAGGGCTTGGCAATCCAAGTATAAAAGCTAATGAATGTTAGAGGTAGATGTCGAGTAACTGAGCCATGTAATTGAAGTAGCAATAATGGTAATAATAATAATAATAATAATAATAATAATAATAATAACAATAATAATAATAATAATGAGTTTGACTGTCGACTTCTCTTCCAGACTCAAGGCTGGGGATAGAAAACAAATTGCAGATTGGCGACTAATAACGGTGTAGCTTACGTTAGCTCAGGGTTCATTGTGCCGGACAGAACCCTTCACTGGTTAGGGCTAAAGACGCTAGGCTGTAGTCAGGATAACAGACAAGTTTGGGAGATTTAACATCGGAAATTTTGATTAGCGAGTTTAGCACATCATATCGATTAGCATCTGAAGATGTAAACCACGTCAGTCTACTTGACATGAACCATATTCTTAAACCATTCCCTCAGCTTTTTGATGATAAAGATTGATATTCTACTGCTTTACAGGCTTGTCCCACCAGTAGTCTGTGATTGACTTGATTTATCCCAATTATTTAATATTTCTCTGATATTCCAGACAGCAGATTTATAAATCTACTCAACGTAAGGATGCATACTATTCACTATTCTGCTGCACAAATTGAATGGGATAACCTGTATGTTTCCTTTAAGACGTTTTATACAGAAGCAAGGGATTCCTAATAACTAGGTTATTAAAAAAAGTGTAGTAGCGAAGTCAATTCTGTTATACAACACCATCTATCTGTTCATTGTGATAAGACTTTTACGTTCATATTACTTATAAACTTCTAAATGACGATGTAAAATCAGGTTTCTTTTAGATATATAACATTCTGTTTTTACTGTTAAATGAATTTGTTAAGTGCTAAATAAAAAAACTACATTATTATGAAGAATATTTATTTACACAAATTATAAAAGTACAGGATTAAAACTGACAACCAATTTTTGAGTGACTGCTGAGATTATTACGTTCGCTCGAAATGTCTACACTAAACCAAACTGTAACTTCTAATTAGATGCATGGTCAGACTTGCCTATCATAATAAGTGAATTGAGCTACTTTGACTGGAATAATTTTTTCTTGAGGTTTTATCATCCCACGTTGGTCACTTGGATTGATATAAAACGAAAAGCAATGGATCTAAGGTCCTAGGTAGAAGTATTGCTATACACAAGTAAGTGGTTCTAGTTTATGAGTGTAAGATGCTGTAGTGACAGATAACGGTTTAAATAAAATCTTGGAACTAGGGTAATAAGAAAATAATAAAACTAAGGTACTTAATGAAAAACCAGTTAATATATGTACAAATAAAATTGTAGAAAAATGGCTCCGATAGTTTTAACCTCAGTCAAATCGTCTCTTACAACAATTGCTGATTGTACAGGGATGTCATTGTAGTAAGATGTTTCCATTAAGCAACGCTAACTCCCTGTAGCGGAAGGTAAGGCTCTTTACTCGAACACTACTAGTCGAGTCAGGGCTTATGGCGAACTGTCATCTACTTTTGCAACCTCAAGTGGTGTCCGTCAAGGCTGTCCACTTTCTCCATTTTTGTTTAACTTCATCATAGACCTATTGATGGAAATAACACTCTCGTCGACTGAATTCTCGGGTATTGATCTCCTTCCAGGAGGTCCACTTATCGACTTAGAATACGCAGATGACATAGTCCTGTTTGGTGAAGACGCTGAGAAAATGCAGAGTCTTCTGGTAGCACTAAGCAACAATGCCAGAATGTTTGGGATGCGCTTCTCTCCCTCTAAATGCAAGTTGTTGCTTCAGGACTGGTCTGGGTCAACACCTGAACTAAGGATAGGGAGTGAAGTAGTTGAACGCGTTGACAACTTCACTTATCTTGGAAGTCTGATCAGCCCTAATGGGTTGGTATCGGACGAAATCTCAGCACGGATTCGAAAAGCTCGTTTGGCTTTTGCCAACTTGCGTCACCTTTGGCGAAGGCGAGATATCCGTCTATCAATAAAAGGACGAGTATACTGCGCGGCAGTTCGTTCTGTTTTAATTTACGGCAGCGAAACATGGCCCTTAAGAGTAGAAGACACCCGTAAGCTACTAGTATTTGACCACAGATGCCTTAGAAATATTGCTGGCATCTGTTGGGATCACCGGGTAAGTAATAGTGAGGTTAGACGCAGGGTATTAGGGAATGATGGTAAATCAGTTGATGAGGTTATGAATCTTCATCGACTGAGATGGTTGGGCCACGTATTACGTATGCCTGAACACCGATTACCACGACGTGCAATGCTAACCGGGGTAGGGGATGGTTGGAAGAAAGTTAGGGGCGGCCAAACCAAAACGTGGCATCAGTGCCTTAAGTCACTAACTTCTAGTCTGAGCCACGTTGGTAGATGCAGACTACTTGGTTGGGGTCCGCGTGACTTTCGTAACCAATGGTTGGAGACTCTTGGTGACATGGCTCAGAATCGATCACAGTGGCGTCGGTGTATACACTCCCTGTCTTCCCTTAAACTAAGAGACTAAAATCACTTCATTCTTTCTGTCTACGAACTAATTCTTTCTTCCTATACTATATCCTAATTGCAACCTTTGACCTAACCACTCCTATGAATCCGGTGTTCATCTTGCTGTGCTAATGAGGTATGGCAACCTGGACCGATGCACATATGTGCCTGGTCCTACGTTGTAGCTGACTGACTGACTGACTGTAGCGGAAGGTTAAACAAGATCAGCGGTGAAAATAGCAAATCTCGGTCTAAGGGTTCCAGCGCTGAGGATAAGGGCTGAAAAATATGGAGCGGGTAAACCATAAACTAATCACAAAGGACTATGTTTCTCATCCTTAAACAACTGTTGTTTGGGCCGCTAAGACTACTACTAGCCCAGTCCATTTTTACGGCACTTCAAGAAGAGATACCTCTTCACAGGTGTGTGCGACCAGCAAGTGACGAATCCACACATACATCTTACCATAAAGGCCTCAAAGTAGGACCTCTTCTACATTTTCCGGTTTCAGTTCTTCGTTCGAGGTTTAAAACTGCAAAATTTCTGGGGACTAAGAAACATTTAGGTGTCTATTGCCTAAGCATTCAAATATAAGGCTGATTGTGATTAAAAGGAAGTATTATCCCAAGTAATTTTTTATGGATAGCAGTTTTGCAAGGTTGGAAAACTACTACAACCACAATAAAACTACAGGTATTTATGAACTGTTGTCTATGCAAGACATTCCAGACCCGTTGGTCAGGCACCATCAGTAGTAACCTACTGTGGCAGAGGACAAAGGAGCTTCAAACTAATGAGAAAATTAGGAAAAGACGTTGGAAGTGGATAGGACACACGCTGATGAAGCAATTAAAATGCACCACGAGGCAAGCCCTAACTTCAAATCTTTGAGGTCAAAGGAAAAGAAACAGACCAAAGAACATAATGCACCAGAAGTGAGAGGCAGACATCAAAAGAACAGGTGTAAGTAAATAAGTAAGTATTTATCCAAAGTGAAAAGTAGAACGAAATTCAACCAAGAGATGATGTTCAATAATCAAAACTTTGTTATTAAATATTTAATAAACAGACTATAAGTACAGCAACGGCTGTATCCAAATACTATGATGCAGAGATTTGTCGACAACAAATTGTTAACATGCATAGGGATTTAGGGTTTTAGAGATATTTGTTTAAAGAAAGCCATCAAACGTTTTTAGGTACAAACAAATAGAACGTACTTTTCCATCTTCACTATCAGAAATAAGAAGCTGAACAAACTGTGATTCTTCAGGATTTGCGACTGAATCTAAACATGCGGATAATAAACTCTTTCCAGGAGGTCCAGTAATATCAACAAAGTGCATAAATGCATGACGATAGGTACATGGGCAAGGGAAAGGATGCTTTGTTAAACTATAAGCTAATCAAATAAAATACATAAATCCATGAAGTATCAGGAATGTATAAGAAAGAATGAAGAAACCTCAAGTACATTTATAAAAAGCAATAGCCACTGTTACTACTCAAGAAATGATCACCTTCCAAAAGATCTAGTCCCTAACGTCGTAGTAATTTTCTGCTTCCTTCCTTTTCAATAGGTTTATGTCTAATAGTTCTTAATTGTATCGTCCTGAACTAAACATTTTGTTATCTTTACAAACTGAGACTTTGAAATGAGGCAACTTGAGTTGGCATACTATCATCTTACATTTTAGATCACAAAGAATAGAAAATTTGAAAAGTATCTTAAATCACTTTAAAACAATGAGCGAAAACTTGATGTGAGTTGTGTAACTATGTAAACAATCTAATGATCTTAATCGACTTTATTTGAACATATGAGTATCAACTCAAGAAACATTTTCTGTACATTTAACCACTCAGTATAAGGAACAATGTATTAAACAGAGAAGCATCGTTAACGTGTACGTGAACTAATGGTACAACATACCTTAATAAACTTCTGCATACGAAGTAAAATTGTAACTGATTAATTACTGAATGAAACTTAAATGACTAAACTAATGGAATGCATCTATTTAAGAATTTATGAACTATCTAGTGATTGTCAGTTAGTGGGTACAGCGCACAAATATAATTATTAAAAAAATCTAAGAGTAAATGCAACCTAAAAGTTCAAATACTAATCATAAACGATATGGAAGATTGTCATCTATTTTGTTTTGCAGCTTTTTGAAAGTAACATTTACCTTGGTTTGTGTTCGTTTAACAATGGTATGGAATGTGCAACATAAATTTCAATTTTCTTGAAAAATTTACGATAAAACAGTGCTGGAAACACTTACGATCAACAGCATCTAAACTAATCATTTCATTCAAATCAATGTTTAAGAGATCACCAATTTTTTCGACAAGATCTAAAGGGTTTGGTGCAAATATTGCAATATGATCACCAGTTTTATATCTAATACGAAAAAAGAAATTACTAAATAATACAATTTATGAAATTGACACTAACAATATATATACCTGTTGATTCTAAATAAAACGATTAACATTTTATGTTGATACTCTTGGTTAAGATATAATTTCAGTTCATTTAGTTTTATAAAACTTAACACTCCTAAAACAAAAAAGCACTCCAACAGACAGTAAGCATGCCACCTTGATGAAATAGTAACTATTAAAAATGTAAAAAATACAATCGGAAATATAGGGGGTTGTAGATTATGAAAAAAACTGAGTGATTTTCAAAAGAAAACTTTGAAGAACGCTAAAATAACAGTTCTGCTTCAGTCTGAGCAAGCGGACAGCATCACAGCCCAGATAAAAATCAAGTGACTTTTGTGGCGTATATGTATTCGGTGCCTCTTTGTACCAATATTTATGTGTTCAAATAAATAAGATAACAGCTGTTTGATGATAAACTTTTCATCTTACATTAAGACAAGAACACTGAAATCTCGCTGTTGATTGCTTTTTTTTAAAAAAAAGGACAGACGCTGTTAAAGTTTTAAAAATTAAGACTACAAAGTTAAGAAGTGCTTTTTCAAAGGGCCTGTTTACTAAATGCCATTGTTAATTTAACTAGATAAGTGTAGTCAGGAAGTCAAAGGCTGACAACAAAATGGGAGTATAGAAAACTATAATCAACATTATTCTTAAGACAATTGGAGCTATATCAATCAAAAACTGTGGTTATTTTATTCAATTAGTATTTCTCATACTTACACAGAAATTAAATAGGCATTTTTTAAAGAAAAATTTGCACATACTATCGTCAACAAATGTATGCCAGGCAAACTTTAGGATCAAAAGGATTAAACCATTTCCTCGCAAAACAGCTAATTGCTGCAGGAGAGATGTCTATCTCTAATCGAGAAAAGGAGTATATTAAGCATAAGTCTACTATGCCTTTCTGTTTTATTGTAAAATACTAATAATCAATTACGTGTCTTCGTGGGACGACCGTGTGAAAAGTGCTGAGGTTAGGGCAGGATATAAAGAGGGTAGGTCGGTTGTGAATCTTCATCAGCTGAGGTGGTTTCGAAATGTAATGCGTATGACTAACCACAGTCTAGTCCGATAAACGATGTTAACTGGTGCAGAATCAGATTAGGATGAAGCTAAAGACATCTAAACCATATATAAATCCCCCAAATGCCCTACTATGGCCGAGAGTGGGGAGAGTCCGCTCTTCCTCTCTCGAAATGCTCTCACATGGTTGCGTACATACAACTACTCTCAGGGAAGTCCTACTCACTACCTTCCCGTGGCGTGGGTTTCAATTACGAAAAGGAGGGCGAAAAGCAAATGTCCGGCGCTTTAACCATGTTGGTGGATATGGAGGATCCACCAAGAGGGGTTGGCAAGTACTTATTCTAAACCAGTGGTGCACATGGGCTCCAGGATCCTAAGGAAACAAATGGCGTATGAACCTATTGTTAGTCACCGGCTACCATGGGACTGCATCTCCTCACGTTGCTCTACTGTCTTGTGGACTAGATCTTTAGGTTGTAGGGTCCGGGTGTGGCCTCCTAAGATAACCACGTGCTCCGGACTGGGCACCCGGGCAGTATCACAGCCCTCGCGCAAATCGAATGATTTAAGTGGCGCATATCTATTTGGTACCTGCTTGTACTAATGTTTATGTGTTTACATAATAGATAATTATAAATATATGCTCGATTCTACGTCATCTTTAGCTGACCAACCTGCGAAAGATCATGTCAAAATATATCATTTTATTTGTTACAGTCGACTAATGTATAAAATTCTGGAGTAAACACTATATGCTGCTTCGATACAATTGCTATAAGGTTTCCAACTTCAAATTCTTTCAATTAAATAACCGTAGCTAATTGATGGGGCATATACAGATAGAAAGCTGAACAATAAATGCTAGATTTTTAAAATAACATTTTTCAAGTTAATATGAAGTCAGAAATAATAGGACTACATAGTCGCTGGCAGTATTGACTAATCAATATGAATGCTAAATAAGAAGTCCAATTCAGTATTTTTTTTCACTATGTACCTCTTCACCACAAAATAAGATCTGACCAAAAATCGATACGGTAATTAGAATTCTATCATTAAAGCAAATATAATAAAAATAACTAATGACGTATGGCGACTAAATTGAAGAACCTTGAACTAGAGTATCAGTGATAATGAACCTTAATGTTTAATCTACACTGCAAACTATAAAAATAATTCCATTTTCATATTAGAAACATAATAAAATGGTGGTGATAATGAATAAACATACCTAAGTTGAGAAGCAGACACATCCAATTCAATGTGGCGACAAGAACGTGAACTCCCATGATACAGTTCTTGATTTTTAACGACAGAAGCATAGAAATAATTGTCGTTTTCATATGGTCTAAAATTTAATTCACGTCATATGAATAAGATATGGTAAGCCTGAAAAAGTATGGCACTAACTTCTTTTTTATCTTTGTAATTTATAAATAGGTCTGAATAGAGTACAAACAAAACGTTTGAATAAACAACATTGTCAAAAACGACTCAAATAGAATGTTTTACTAATTCTGAATAAGTTTTAAGATCACATAAACTGTTGAATCACAGATGAAAACCGTGATATATTTTAGCTTCACAAGTCAATTATAATGGTTGTTAGATCATCTAAAACCTAAGAGAAAACACTGGTCTGCTAAATAAGGTAAACCTGGAAAAGCTATATAACACGAGGATTTTGTACGTTATGCAACAAAATTGTGAGTTCAGCTGGCCCACGGTCACAACTCATTTACCCACTTTCCTCAAGCAACCTGAAGACCTTCAATCATTAGTAAAGTTCAAAAGGCTGTAAGTAACCTAAAGCAAAGGGGAGCATCAGGGCCTGATAGATTAACCCCTGAAACTTTTAGGGATGGTGGTCAAGTTTAGACATTTAGATTAACTGAAATCTTAGCTAAAATCTAGGAAATAAACATAAGCCCACCTAGCTGGTCTCGATCGCTGATCGTCTCAGTCCGTGAGAAAGGACGAAAGTCCTCTTGCGACAATCACACAGGAATCACTTTAAATAATATAGTGTCTAGAAGATTAGCCTCAATAATACTTCGATGTCTGACTAGATCTCATGAAGAACAAACCCAAGAAAACCAGGCTAGTTTCAGATCTGGACGTGGATGTATAGACCGAATATCTACACTTCGGCAGATTCTGGAACATAGATAAACCTATCGACGTCCAACTGTAGTTGTTTTCGTTAAACTTAGGGCAGCGTTCGACTCTATCGATCGCGAGGTTCTATGGCAGTGTCTGTCATTCAAAAGTGTACCAAAGAATTACATTAACCTTATATAGGCTCTCTATTCGAAAACTTCTGGTCGAATAAGAGCGTCTGATGAACTGTTGTTGGAAGTGGTTACTTCAAGGGATGTTTGTCAGGGTTGTCCGCTTTCTCCATTTATATTTAACCTTGTCACAGACATTCTTTTGAAGATAACACTTTCATCGTCCGACTTTACGGGAGTCGATCTTCTACCAGGAGATTCACTTGATGACTTTAAATACGTAGATATGGTTCACTTAGGTGAAGACGCTGATGAATTTCAGTCTTCTGACCACCTTAAGTAACAATATGGTCATGCTTCGGATATGGTTTTCTCCCTTCAAATGTAAAATATTACTTCAGGATTACTAATTTGTTCGAGTGATTCATCTTTGTCTAACACATGCTTGAGATAACTGAATTCCAAGTTTCAAAGAATGCAAATCATTCGTGTTCACGAATCCAATAAATTATATGATTGTCAGTTATCAAAACTCTGAAGAACGTCCGAGTATAAAATGGAAATGATAATTATTTGATGCATCTAACCAAAAGCACTACAAATAAAGTATTAAACCATGACCCCCTCTGCTTAATAACGGAAAACATTTGCACCGACTTAATAGGCTTAGTATGTTAAACATACCGTCTACTTTTGAGATTACCTTAAAAGTCACTTTACATTAGAGGATTTGATATCACTCCTTTCATTTTGTCCAAACTTTCCTTGCATTATTTCTTTTGTTTAATGACACAACAAGGTGAAAGTTGAAACGATGTCTATCGACATGGTATACAATAATGTCAGAATGAGATTGATAACATTTTTTAGTCACTTGGGTCAAAAACACAAGTCATTGTTTGTAAAACCTGTGTAATGTAACAATATTACTTACAAGTAACTATTATTTTGTCATATAATTTATCTGCCCGTACTTTACTATCTAAGAAAGACTCAACTTTCTTTAATTGATTATTATTTGTCAGGGTACATGAAAGCAGTTATTTTACATCTACTTAGTAATAAAAAACCACTGTCCGTTGATAGTTTCACTTTGAAGGCAAGTTCGTAACGAATGTCATGTAACAGTTTAAAGATCGAGACACAATCATCAGAAAAACAGAATACCTGAGTGCACAACCATTTTCAATAACTTTATCATCAGGCTTTACAAATAAAACATTTCGGGTGTAGTTAAACCTTAACCGACGCAAAAGTTTATTATTTTCAACATGAAATAGTTCAGTTAACTTTTTCATGTATATGTTATTTTGCAATCGTAACACAAGACTTATAAAAACATAGGGTCAAACTCGTCAGGGGATATCAGTCCCACCAAGATTGAACGTACACCTTGCAGGCGAGTCCCAAGTAGCACAAAACACAAGTCCAGAGTTTTCTCTTGAATACCTCAAACCACCACCTTACATACATATAACTCTAATACCTGATGAATTTATTGAAAACAACTATCAACTCAATCAATAAGTTTTTAATTTCACATATTTGTTTAATATTATTGTAGAATTGCATGAACATACATTTTTTTCGATTTAGGACCATGTTCTATTGTGTTTTCATCTCGTTAATGATACCAAAACTAATATGTGATTATGAACATCAAAAACGGCGAATAAACATGGCATTTACCATGAATTCTCGTTCAAAAAAGTTAGTCTACTGTGATTTTTCATTAACGAACCCCGTGGGATAGGAATATATATGCGGCGCAAAAGTACATGTGCAAGCAAGACTATGAATTAATTTAAGTTGGATCTTGAGATCGCTAGACTCCAACTCAGAGGTGTGTAAACAATGAGCTGGCAGAAACCGGATGGTCCTAGGTTCTGTTTTTGACTTTGTCGCATACATGTGAACACTGTCGAGTTTTTGTATACTAGGATGAACGAGATAGCTGTCCAGCGCTTCCTATGTTTTTAATGACTGATGTCATTACGTGATGGAAACTACAACAAATCGATCTTACCTTTAGAAGCAACTCAATTTATTATTACTGTTTTGTTTCGTAGTTGTTTTAAGAATTATAGAAGTTTCTGTTAGTATTCGATGGTGAAAGATATTGATTTACTCTTTAGTGACGACAGTAACAGCTTAAGTCTACTTTGGAAGGATACCCTGATGGAAGTTATTAATATACAGCTTAAACTGGTTATTTTGCAATTCTGAGTCTGAATGGTTATGAACAACTTTAGTGCTTAAAAATGAAAACTTACAACGTTTCCATAACGTGAGCCTTATTTATAAACATATTCACGAAGTGCGAAACAAGCGGGACATTCCAGTTAATACATTTTAAAGAGTATATTCGTTTATACTGCTTGTTTAAGTAATTTCTATCATGGTCATTTAGATTAAAAAAGCCGATCAATAACGAAGTTAAGTGACTCCTCCAATTTATAAACGTAGATTCTAGTTCATCCACTTCATCTCCCAAAGTCAGTGCTTGTAAACGTTTACCTCCATGTTTGGTAAGCAAACGGTCGATTGACTTTCCAACAGCATTGAAATATGTATACATACTGTTGCCCAATCCGAAAACCTATAATCAGATAGGATTTTAAAGTTTTCAAAAATTAGACAAACAAAGATTTTGTCCATGAAAAGTTATATCGACAACCCATTACTTTTACATATGTTCATTACTTGATGTACAGTAAAGATTTCTACAGAGATTTACACCAGGTTACACTGAATCACTAAAAGTTAGTAAGCTTATGAAAAACATCGAACTTTTAAACTCCTTTTCACAACTTTGAGGTTAAATCACAATTTCGATGAAATGCTGACACTTCCAGACTTTTTGAAAATGAAAACAAACCTCGAGTTATCATTATTGACGGTAACTTCATATCAGTAGATGCAGACTATTGGGTTGGGGTCGGCGTGTCTATCGCAACCAATGGTTGGAGACTCTTGGTGACATGGCTCAGAATTGATCACAATGGCGTAGGTGTATACACTCTCTATCTTCCCTTAAGATAAGAGATTAAAATCGCTTCATATCTTTCTTTCTACTAAATAATTCTTTCTTCCTGTACTATATCCTTATATGCAACCTTTCCTTTATATTACCACCATTGACTTAACCACTCCTATGAATCCGGTGTTCATCTTGCGGTGCTAATGCGGCATGGCAACTTGGACCGATGCATATATGTGCCTGGTCTTACATTGTAGCTGACTGACTGAGTAGCCACAATTCATAATCATACTGTTAGTCAATAAGCAGAAGAGCTGTATTTTGGAGTGGTTTTATCCGTTTGCATAACACAACTGAGTTTTCTGGACTAGTTAAAGATCAGGGTTTTTCAATTCTATGACTAATAACTAGGGCTGAAATAAGAAACTTATTAGGTGTTATATTGTACGCGACCTTTATGATTTCACTTGATCGTTATAATCAGTCCACAACTAGATATGAAAATTTACATCTTTGGAGCATTATTCTCATCAAAGTAGAAAACTAGTTAATTAATATTTTGCATCATAGTCTCATAATGAGTAGAGTGCAAAAATCTTTAATTACATAGCGCCTAACAGCTGGTCAACCAATCACACAATACTGCATGAACTTGTATACCGCCAAGCTCAACTTAACTGCGACCTGTCAATACACGGTCAGACAAGCTTCGTTACAAGGAATATATGAATTAACAACTTTTTGGGTTTTAATAAGTTACAATTAATCGACAAACACAACAGTCTAAACAACTTATTTTGAATGTTAAGGTATTAGGACAATTCTGACCAACAACTAGTTTTCCCTCATACATATTCTGCGTTATTTAATATCTTTAAAGTAAAACCCAATACTTTGAATCGGCATCCTGAGAGAAAAAAACTTAACTTATGCATAACAACGATTAATGAATACTAAGAGTATTACCGCAAAGCGTAAATTATCCAACTTCTGGTAAGAATTCTTCAGATTATCCATAAAATGTCGAGCACTATCTGTTGGTTCACCTTCACCATAAGTTGCAACAAGGAACAATGCTACGCAGGTGTCCAGCATAGACAAATTTACTAATATGTCCTAATAGAATAAATAAAGTTTTTATGTTATATATATGAAAGATTGTAAAATGAACTTCGGCATAACTGCAGGATAGAATAAATCTCGGGTACCCAAACTGATAAACAACGTATGAAAATATCGACTAATGTAACTCACTGGCTAAGTTATATCTACCCTAGCTTAAATCACACTTTCCCATATAAGGGCTAATGATATTGTCTGCCACACTGAAGTGGGAAAAAATGGTTGAAACCCACAACTCTATGGTTGAAAATCGAGTGATTTAACCACTAGGTTACGTTAAATGAAACAAAAGCCTATTTAGTTTAAAACAATATACATACATTACATTTTAAGTGAATTAGGTTTAATCAAAACAATTATAAAATTAGCAGTCGTATTTTCTGCTAAATGTAGTAGTAAGTACATAAAATATAGAAATTAAGAACGACAAAATATACGCTATCTTCGGAATTACTGGTAGTAGTCAGTATCCTAGAAAGATATTCCCAAACTGAGGTGTATAACGAAGACGTAGATCATGGAAATTCTACGGTAACTATCAAAAAGGAATGATATCATACAATTTTTCACAATAGAAATGTAAAATTGAGAATTTATGCATCACTGCTTCACGAAATCACCATTTATTCCGTCCATGAATACAGAACTTTTAAAATTCTGTTCAGAAACATGTAAAATCAGGAACCTAATGAGCCTTAGTAGTTTGTGTGAACTGTTGGTGCGCAATTTTAAACAGATGTATAAGATTAGATTATACTAGCTATCCGCAAAGTTACTTTTTAGGTACCAAGACCTCGCATCCACATATCAATTCGTAGATAACTTGTTGATTATTATATACACTCAATAAGGACTACATTACATTTGGTTTTGAATAAAATTACCAGATAACTTGTATGAAAATAAACAGATAAAACCCATTTCTACTCACACGTTTATTTCGTTCACCTTGTTGAAAGAAATGAAATATCATGTTTATGGTACAAGAGTGACAGCTCTAAAGCAATCGTGTGACACAAAAAATTTACAGTAGTTCCTATTGTTAATCAAATGAAGCATAATCCAACCTGTAATATAACTGGTATTCTATGATACTTGGGTAACAAGAACCAATTAAATGATGAAAGACATCTAACTGTGTAATAATTATGTACTAAATACTTTAATCGGGTAAAGAAGCATTTACAAATGACAATGGGTCGAGATGACCACATATACCTTTCACAATTACGTAAGGTATATGTTGTTTTACTTAAGTAAAACAACTTTGAGGCTTTAATATTTTTTCAAGGAGAAAAAAACTAAAAGCAACAGTCAATAGATTTAGACGAATATTACGAAGAGAGATGAACATTTGACTCCTAGAATGTATGAAATGATAGGCTAAATTATTCAAGGAACAACATATCTAATTTTTTGTTCCTCTTATTTTCCATCATACAATACCTTACCTAAACGCATAACAAATGGAAGGAACCATAGACAAAAATTTACCTGATGTGGAAGCAAAGTTTTGCATTTTAACTTATCAGTCAGATTATGAGCCATAATTGAAGTGTGAGGGCTGATGGTATAACGCTGTTGACCAAGCCGAAATAGATGGAAAGGAAGTAGAAGCTCGCCTTAACCAATAACCCACTAAGTAAAACTTCAAACAAAACTGATTAGATCAAGTCCAAACAGTGCACTAAGGAACGAGTGTTTAAAAGAAAACTCTATTTATTTCTAGTTAGTACTATAATGATGATGAAATCAAGATATTTGTCAAGTATGATAGTAAATACCCCATACAAATGAACATAACGACAGATTATTGAACATATGTTCAGTAATACTGAACACATTTGCTGATAATTCATATATTGAAAAACTCATTTCTTCCTAAGTATTCAATACACCATGAGATGGAATAACAGGAGAGATTGCACATCTGGATCTTACCATGTTTGTTTGTCTCAAATCCACCACCAAGTTACGTACGCCGCAGTTGTGAAGATGATGACCAAGATTAATAGCAAATTTTTTAGCAGTCCCTGTTTGAGATCCGTAAAATATAGATACTTTGATATCCTAAATACGATAAACAATCCTTTAAACGAATATCTTACACTTCGATTGATTACTGCTAAAAGGTCTTCATGATTAGAACGTTGTGGTTCGCACTCAGCACTAATACTACGAATCTTTTGTAGATGTTTATGTAAAATTCGCTTCAATTTATTGAAAGTTGTACACAACACAACGGTCACAACAACGACAGCATAAAATCCAAAGTTATCCATTAATACACTTGGAGGGAATATCTAAAATTGGGTCCAAGCATTGATAATAAGCCGTTATATTGAGACGGTTTTACATTGCACATCAGCGGCTGAAACATAGAGATAAGGGGAAATAACGATTTCAAGTCTATTAACAAACGTCCATGAAAGAAAATACTTAATCACGTAAATCATGCAGCGATAAAGATGAGTATCTGTCTCAGTTTTCAGATGTTACTTTGACATGGGAGAGAGAAAACAAGAGGAATAGCAGGCATGCATGCAAATAAAGTTGATGTTAACATTTATGGAAATGTTGGAAAGGGGAAACTGTTCAAGTGCATAAGTTTTAGTTGTGACATATAAAAGCATGTGGTTATAGTCCTGTTTAAACAGTAATAATACTTACTAATTAGTAATAATTATTACTTCATTCGAAGGGCCTAGTTGAAATAGGAGTTGATTCAGACCACGATTGGAGGGGTAATTTCAGGACTTTTGTGCTGTTTTCCCCAAATTTTTGTAAAACTATAATTTATGAACAACCATTTAGCAACGCTGAAGTGACCTTGAGTGTCCCCTTGTAAATAGAATTTGTATAGTTGGGCATGACAAACTTATTTTGTTAATAGTTTCTGATATTATTTGCGCTTATTTTGTCAATTTTCACAGTTTGTTTATTTACCATGAAATAATTGCACATGTTGTTTAAGTGCATGACTTGAACACTATCTTTCAGTGTGTTACACTCAGCATGACACACACTATTAACTGCTCGTAAGTACACTACTATACACCTGACTCTCGTTCTTTGGTTATCATAACTGAACTTTGAAATATCTATTATCTACATTTATAGACTGCAGCCACATTTGAAAGCTAGGTCGGCCTGCTTGAATTTCTGTGCTACCTCTTTCTGTCATCTAATTATTAGATCAAGTTGTTTGTTTTTCATTTGTTTTAACATACCATTATGTCCATTAATCGCATAACCTATTCAGGCGCGTTTATGAAATACCTACGACTTTTCGATGCACGGTTCAAAAAAGTACTATGAAAGACATCGTAGTGGTTGGCAATATGTGTTAAAGAGAATGAACATTATTCGTATGTGGGTTCCCGAGCTGCAAAATTCTAAAAGCCAATCACTAATCAACAAAGTGGACTATTTACAATTCCTACTAAGTCAAAATATGTATCGTAATTGTGGTGTCATCACAATTCAAGAATCTTGGTTAAATGATTTACAGGTTGATTGCTTAGTATCTTTACGTGATTTCAAAATCTATCGTCAGGATCGATCGAACAATAAAAAGAGGTGTGGTGGCTGTGTAGCTACGTTTATAACGTAACCTGTTGTCGATCTTCGTTTGTGTGTTTTAAGTATTCAAATGACTTTATCGACTGTCTAACTCTAAGATGTCGTCCAAAACATCTGAATAAATACAAATATGTTTGTGTTATCAATAGCTACGTGACTCCAGACTGCACATCATCTGCGTTATCTGATTTCTCTGATGAATTCACTGAGTTCGCTGTTACTGCCTTCAGTGATTCATTTTCATTTGTATGTGGTGATTTCAATTCATGTGACTGTAGCTTCCTTACTTCACTAAATCACCAAAATGTAGTGGATTTTCCTACTCGTTTGGATGCTCATTTAGACTTCGTCTTCATTAATGATGTGGGTATATATGTGACTCGTAAACGTGCTCCATTGTCTAGCTCGGATCACTGAATAATTCGTGTTCTACCTAAAGTATATGGAAAGTCTGGGAAGAGTACACTCGTACATCAAACCAAGAAAGTCAAATATAGGAATTACGCAGAAGAAAATATCCGAAATCTGAAAAACATGTTTCATACGACTAACTGGGAATTATTTACAGATGACTGACTGGAAATCCCTACTGATGTTATTGTTACGGGAGAACTGAAGACTTTTGACGGATTAAAACCCTTTATTGTACATTAATATTTTACTGTGCTTTTGGATGTAATTGTTTTACTTAACTTTTGAACTTGTTTGTTTATATCATTATTTCAAACATTTTGGTTTGGTATTTTGGTGCTTTTTTTGTCTTTGGTTTGGTATTTGGGAGTTTTGCTCCGGGAACCTACAAAATTGAAGGTTTGTTTTGTAATTGTTATAATTATTGTTATTAGAACGACATTTAGTCGATTATTTGGGAATTACGAATAAATTTGGTATCTAAATTGGAACTTGGTTCTGTTGTTAATTTGGGTTCGTAATTTGCAAGTAGATCGATAGTCCGTACTTCAATAACTGGAACGAGCAAAACTTGGACGTAACAGTTATCACTTGTTACCTTAAATTCTGTTTTGGTATTTGTTGTCCCACTGAAACCATTTTTGTAAGTTTTGATCGACTTACATCTTCACAACTAAAACGACTACGAAGGATGAAAGAAAGAATGTAAAAGGAGAAGTACTCAAATGAAGCTGGTAAGCTAAATGTATCTTATTTGGGAAGTTGTACAGTTTTCCGGGTTTTTTACCACTTTTTTATTTTTCTCTTTGTTACTGTTTTTTGCGTAATTAAATTGTTGAAATACGCTGTGCTGAGAATTCTATATTGTACCAAAATATAATATTGATTGAAGTCATTAATAATAATAACAATAATAAATCTACGTCTGGCCATATAAAGCGCGTCTACTGTGATACTGACAATATGATTCCTAATAAAACCATCTAAATTTATATCTTATAAAATATCAATCCGGTTGAGTAGTTTGCTACGGTGAGAATTGTATCATTTGTAACAATTTGCTCTTTCCTGTATACTGGCATGCCTTATGTAACGAACTGTTATTTGAGGATAAATTATTATTATTATTAACTATGAAGTGAATCACAATAAATGCTCCAACACAATATTTACTAGAAGCTGGTTGTCCTTAGACTTTATTTCAGAGACAGTGTTATATTAATTGCTTAGGATGTTGATAGATAACTTTATTAACTCCAAACATTTTAAGAACTTAACACTCAAATTTTTCTTATTATTATTATCATCAGCTTTATTGAATATTATATTTTTGGTACAATATAGAGTTCTCAGCGTATAGTATTTTAACAAGTTTCCGTTTCTTTCTTCTTTGTCGGTTCTGGCGACAAATACCGAATGATCGCCAGTTAGATGTTAGCAGTTAACTAAATGAACATCTGAATAATGTGCATTCTTTTCGCTGTATATTGCCAGCAACCACATTGGTTCTTATTGAGTTTCTTGTAACTTTGACAACGAAAGGTTGTACACTTTTCAGAAACGCAGCAGAATAGATCATGCGATTAATAAACATAATATTAAACATATATTAAAATAAACAAAAATAGATAACTTGTTGAAATATCTAGATGGCAGGAACAGGTAGCCCAGATGCTCAAGCAAGCCGCTCTTGTTGTGCAATATACATGTTTTCTTCACTGTAGCCTTCGGCAGGTTTTCGTCTGGCGTGAAGGTACCTTGTGTATTGGTGTGAGGAGCAGTGACACAATCCAAAAAAATTACTGGTGAAAATGTGAGCCAAAGAATCAATACGTACGTAGAATGCACTTTCACTTAATACTCAAAGTGAAACAAACAAGAAGGGAAATGGAGGCAAACTTAAAATAAAACTAACACTTAGCGATCACACACTGCCCAGACTGGCATCAGTAACTGACCTAGGGGTACATTACTCACACAGTCTTAATTTCTCTGAACACATCTCAGCCAAAGCATCCAAAATGCGGAAATTGCTTGGCTTCATTCTCCGTAATTTCTATCAAAATGAATCTAAAATCCTTCTTTACAAAGTTTGTGTAAGACCTATCGTTGAATACTGCTCGTTCTTATTTTCCAACCTACGTCTATCTGATATACTAAAGGTGGAAGGAATACAACGAGACTTCACCCGCAAAGTACTTAAGACTGACTCGGTCATTGACTACAGTTCTCGATGCCAAATCTTAGGAATAGCACCCCTTTGGGAGAGAAGGCTCAGGTCTAATTTGGTTCTCTACTTCAAACTACTCAAAAACCTTACTTACTCAACATGTCAGATAATTCTTGCCCGAGATTCACATGAATACGGACTTCGAAACAAAGTATCTACGGTCAAAGTTGAGAAATACAGATCAAAAACTCGGGAAAACTTCTTCCTCACCAAGTATGCAATAATATGGAACAGTCTTCCTTCCGAGACTCGCATGGCAGATGAACTACATACGTTTGTGAAACTGCTTGATCAAGCCCTCACTCGCACTGATCTTGCACGTACGAACACATCTGCGCCCCACTCAGACATCATAGGCTCTCTCCATGTCTAGACCAAAATGGACTTCAAGTTCAGTTTGCCTTATTTTTCCTACTTTGCAGTTGTATTAATTACTTTTTCCACCCCATTTCTTCACTTGAAGTAGACAGGTAACTCACTGGACCTATCATTACTGTCAAACTAAACTCGGTCGATAAGGGACAATCACTACCACCCTAAAAAGTCAAGAGGACCCGACAATCGGCTGCCTACTACCAGTGGTCTTGCATCTATGGAACCTGTTACCAATCAACTGGTTAAGACAACAGAAAATAACATCAGCACCAAGTTACTGTGAGTTCCTTCCTGTTTATCCTGTATTAACTTTTTACTCTTCTGTACACTATGTTGACTAGCAATAAATATTATTTCTCCGCTCTTTCCCTTATCCACAACTCATATACTTCTATACTTTTTCCGCCTGCTTAAATAAACAACTATCCTGCAATATACCCTTCTTAACGCTTATACTCTGTTTGGCAAACTATACTTTATACTACAGTCAACAGAGACACTGCACCGATGCTTTACCCACAGTCCACAGCTTGTAACTGCCTGATAAGCTTGTTAAATGGTACTTATAGAAATAGTGCTTTCCAACAAGTTGTGAAACAGAGGATTGTGTGAGGTATGACGTATATACAAAAATAAGCTTAAATGAGCCTAACATCACAAAAGGAGGGAGGGTGGAGTTACTGACCAGCAAGCATTGATGGTGAGGGCGATAACTTCAATCCACCCATGTTTGTGGGGACAGAACATTTTGTATGTATCAGGCTCTTTATAATTGAGAATAAGACAGTCAATCTGAGATATAGATTGTCTTCCTACGCTCATCACTCAGACTAATGTTTCCAATAATATGCTGGATTAGCTATTTTACTAAGACAACCTATAACATGCTAACTCGGACTTTTACACTAGGATTGCGTGGCTGACATCGGATGGACAAAAAAAAAGAAAAGAAAAAAGACAATAAAAGATATAGTCACTAGTATTCTTAACACTTCACCCTCTATATACACACCCTTCTAATAGACCGCTTCGCTTGTACCAACCTTGACTTCCCTTCCTTCATGTGAGCTTACTCCAACTTGTTAAACATCATAACTCGTTGTTCTTTGTTAGTACATTCTCTAATATGGAGCCTCTGACTTCACTTCACTTCACTCTAACAAGACATTATATGAATTTATTCTAATTTATTATACCTCTGTCCGTTCTACTACACAATGTTAAGCAACCTTCGGCGT